TGAGATCCACCATCTCCTGTGCAGACCAGGCTGGAGCACGTTTGGGGCATGTAGTCTCCATGATCAGCTGTGCTCAAGCTGGCATGCTCCCAGTGCTGGTCAAACAGGAAATGGGAAATCAAAAATTCCCGGGGCATTAGCAGGGGATGGGCTGTTTTCTGTTTACCTGGCTGCAGTGCAGCAGAGTTGAGAATGATCTCCAGAGCAGTCACAGATGAGCATTGTGGGGTACCACCTGGAGGCCAATTAAGTCGAATTACACAATGCTGCGCCTGCACTACCTCGCAGTCGGCCCATGGAAATCAAAGTAAGCGCTGCAGAGGTGGATTACAGAAGTGAACATCAGAGGTAACTTAGGTCGATGTAAAGGACACGGTAGTGTAGACACATACATTAACAGGTCAACTTAAGGTAGCTTCCTTCATCCTAACTCTGTAGTGTAGACCACGCCTTAGTAACACACAGTGCACAAATACATTGAGTAAGAAAGGGCCATTTTTACACTGAGAGACAAGATGGGTGGGGTAATATCGTTTATTGGACCTTCTTCTGTTGGTGAAAGAGACGAGACACAGAGCTTGTCTCTTTCACCAATGGGAGTTGGTCCAATAAAAGATATTGCCTCTCCCACCTGGTCTCGCTAATGTCCTGGGACCAACACGGCTACAACAATACGGCAAACAACATTTTTACATTGACATATTCTACCTATAATTCCTCTTTAAAAAACCAGTGTGTCATACTTTTTTAGGAAGAGAAAGGGATTAATGGTTGAAATGATCTTACATTTACATATCCCCTTTAATCTGTAAATGTTTTTCAAATTATATGGAAGGGTTACTTAATCTACCATTGTAAAGTAATCACTTCTGGAGCTGGAAGGCAGCAACTGTTGAGCAGCTCAAAGCTGAAAGTGAAGAGGTTGCTCACCCCGGTACGAACCCAGTCCAAACCTGGTTACCTAGTGAAATAAAGTGGCGACTTCCAGAAGGAAACAAGTTCATTTTTTTAAAAAGGGCATACTTTTTGCTAAGGGAAGTGAAACTGTGAAAGGATCATTCCCTAGCATTACAATTCTTTAACTTCCATTATCTATCATACAGTGAAACCGTTGTGAGGAATATCTGGCATAAATATATAGAATACAATTACTGAACTGTTCATCAATTTCTGCAGATTGTATTTGAACTAAACCCCTCTTTTAAGTGAAGAGAAAATAAAGGAATGAACTTGATAAAGCTGAATGAAAGCCCAGGCACCAAAAAATGAAATAATCATAATTAGATCTCTTAAATAAATTGACTGAATAAACAAATCTACTTGGTGTCATTGTGCACTGCACGTTATCTATAATGAATGCCGTCCTGATAAAAGAACAATTAAACCCAATTAAGTAATACATGCACTGTATACCAAGGCTTTATAGCCATTACTGGTAAACAGAGGAGGGAAGACCAGAAGCCAAATCCTGATCCTATTGACTTCAGTGGCAAAACTCCTGGAGCTGGTCTCAAGGAACCAGTTCATAAGAGTCATCTGGTCTAAATCCAGGCAGTTGACAGCCCTAGTCTTGGCTCTGTTCTGTGTACTGCCATTTTCCTCCATTCCATTGAATGGAAATATGGTGATTTTCAATGGTAAAGCCACCAGATGATTCACTAATTGTGAACTGAGGTACAATGGGGACTCTAGAAGGTCCAAAAATTCTGTTGGACAGTCTCAAAGCACCTGGTAGATAATCTGGATACAGAATATGTTGCACCCACAGATTTTCATCTGGATTTCATTTTCACGTATACTGGATAAGCATAGGAAACGATTTCTAAGGTAGTGTTTTCTCTGTAGCCCAATTTTTATATTGCATTATTGGTCTAAGGACTCTAGTCCCTCCTGGTTAAATCATCTGCGAGAATCTACACTTCTGTCCCCTGGAAGAGATGATAACTCTGTACATTAGTTGATTCCCAAATCATAAAACATTGGGGGTTTATTATATGAAGGTACTGAACTCTCAGGAAAACTGTGAAGAAAAATACCAGGTGCTCTTGTCCTCAGAGAACACATTTGTCTTCTCATCATGTACCATGAAACGCTGTGGCCAAGGGACACTCAGCACAGCTCGGTATAGGGAGAGGAGCCACAGAGGTGGCATTAAGGCACCATTTTGCTCTCCCAATCGTGGGGTCATCCAGGCACTGATCTAGTCCTCAGTGAAAATTAGCTGCTTCAATTTATACTGACAACCAAGGGCCCTAAGGGGCCATGATGATAGTGGCAGATCTCAAATGTGTAAGCAAGTCCTGACTAGGTCCGCTTTTCTATACAATATCCCTTATGTGAGTGGAAGGTGGGGTAGTGTAGCAGTGACTACGGTGGGTCTGTGTAGTTTTAGAAATGAAGGGACTGCAGTCCTGACCATCCCATTTCAACTCTTTCCCCCTCCACCACAGACACCTTGGAAATGTAAAGTATGAAGAACAGGTATTAGAACAAGAGAAGTGACAAGTGAAATGAGTTTTCTGTGGTGTAAATGCTAGTTTCCCATTCCCAGAGCTGACATGTTAAAGCTTGATTACTGTCAAGAGTACTAGGTGAACCGTGTTATTTCCACTGCATCATCTACCACGGAGGGGAAGCAAAGCCATCACATTGTAGGCCAGGGCATTTATATGGAGCACTTTAACTGTCTCCCTAATGCTGAATCAAATGAACTGTGGCTATCCAAACAAGCTCCCACACATAGTCACCTGGGAGAAACTGCTATCATAACTTAAACTGACAGTCCTTAAGGTACAGCTTCTGCCTAATAAATGTGCCCCAATTAACCATTTTTTATTAGTTCTCTATAAACTGGGGAAATGGGACCCTGCTGTAAATACAGAATTTTAAAATCACACTCTTCATCTTCATATTAAAAGAGGTGCCTCGATTGTAACCTCTTCAAGGCAGGGATTGTGTGTTCCCATGTGTTTCATGGGTGCCTAGCATATTGTGGGTACTAGCGGAATACAGTTATAAGCAGGGCCGGCTCTAACTTTTTTGCCGGCCCAGGCAAAAAAGAAGAGCGCCGCCCCGCCGTACCCCCCCCCCCCACCCCGGAGCGCCGCGCCGCCCAAACCCCCCCCTTCCCCCCGAGCGCCGCACCGGGCCGCCCAAACCCCCAGAGCGCCGGGCCGCCCCCCCACAGCACCGCCGAAGCCCTCCCCCGCCCCCCCGCGCCGCCGAAACACCCCCCGCGCTGCCCGGCCAAAACAAACAAAAAAAAAACCCTCGAGCGCCGCCCCGCCGAACAACAACAACAAAAAAACAACAAAAACACCGCGAGCGCCCCCTGCCACCCCAACATTGGCCGCTCCTTCTAAGGTGCCGCCCCAAGCACGTGCTTCATCAGCTGGTGCCTGGAGCCGGCCCTGGTTATAAGGAATACAAACTGATGACACTGAATTTGGCTTTCTAGCAATCCTACAGTAGTAGTCTGCAGGATATAATCATTATCAAAGGCCCATTTCCAGAGCCTTTACTCCTATTAGTGACCATTTATTCCTGCAGGGAGCACCATCAAATTTAAGGGGGCGGTATTCACATGAGAGTTTAATGAGACTACTCAAGTGAATATACACTCATTTGGGGGAGCAATAACTCCACAGTCTGGCCCCAAATGATTAGAATTTGCAAAAAGCTGTGGGCCGTACATCATTGGCCTATTTCATTTTTGAAGCACTTATGTGACAGCTGCTGTCTTGGCCAACACACTGGGGATGAAACTAGAGCTGAAAGCATGAGCAGCTACAGCTTGAACTAAAGGGCCAAGGCTCTCTAGGTGGGAGCTGTAACAATTCATATCCTCTGTGGATTGGTGCAAAGTGGGACTTCTAACACTCACCAGTGGGCTACACTTACTTTCATCATAGGTTGAAGGAGTCATGGAAGCTGACTTTTAAAGAAGCCATATTTTTTTTGCTGTGAATAACTAAGGGCTTGATTTGCAAAATTACATGTGCAACTATGTGCCTATTTTGCCTGTGTGGTTACTGTAACTGCCTGTGCAAACTGGATATTTGTATGTAGCTGCTGATTTAAACATGTAAATACTCTATTGGGAATGCAATCACATTAATTGCATGTGCAAATTAGGCACCCACTTCTGTGTTTCAGTTTGTTTATGTACCAAAGCTTGCTAAGACATATAATAGTTTTTATGATCATTAGAGATGGGAAAACCACAGAAGATTTGGAGGTTTGGTTTGGCTAAGTACCAAAAGGTGTGGCTGTTTATACAAATTATTCAATCCTCTTGAGTTTTCTCGCAGAATTTCTGGTTCTTCCAGCTTTCAGGGAGCCCAAACATAGTTCAAATTTCTGTAGCTGGTCCTGGCTGGACTCCAGAATTGCAGAGGCACGTGGGGAAGAAGTAATCCAAACTCTTTTGATTACCACAGAAAATATGGCTTAGGCTGGTGGTGGCTTAACCTGATCTGATTTGCCTGCTGCGATGGCAGTAGCTATAAAACAATAATAGTTATATGGTTTACAGATTGTTACTGTAACAGTCCACATTTGAAATATGTGAGCCTGTTGGGTTTCTTTCTACATAGAGATTGTGTAAGTCTTCTGGGTTTCCTTATTCTCATCAACGCTGCTAGTAAGCTTCAGCTGCAGGATTGAATGACTGGAGTCTTTGAGACCTGTGCTACTAATTAGGCCATGGTTTGCTAGGGCTCCAATCTACACAGGTGAAGTGAATTTGGCTGCGTGTGCTAGGTTTAGAGTTTGGTTCTTAAAATACAATATTACGGGTTAAATTGTAATAAAACAAGAAGCTTTTTATCACCTGACACAAAACGGGTGTGTTTAACAACGTATCTCACATGCTGATGCTGCCAGGTTTTGGACTAGAATGCCTTTTAAGCTGACAGAAAATGTGAGTTTTGTGCAGGGGTGGGGAGTTCCTTTGTTGAAAGTGCTTAATGAGCTATGCTACCATTTTTTTTCAATGCTAGGATTCTGCCAAACATCTGGCTGGGAAGTTGCCCTCGGCAAGTGGAGCATGTAACCATCAAGCTAAAACACGAACTGGGTGTTACGGCTGTAATGAACTTCCAGACTGAGTGGGATGTTGTTCAGAATTCCTGGGGCTGCAACCGCTATCCAGAACCCATGAGCCCAGAGGTCCTTATGAAACTGTATAAAGAGGAAGGTCTCGCTTATGTCTGGATGCCAACCCCAGACATGAGCACTGAAGGTAATGTTCAAACCTGTCTTACAACTGGATAAATAATAACAAAACCTTTCAATGACATGATTACATTGCTTTAGTGTTGTTTTTTTCTGAATAGCTTTTGTTTATTGTTACTTTGTTGTGTTGTCCCTAATGAATTCTGTACACTTTGTCATATACAGAGAGGTCATCCAAACGATTTCTGATACATATCTTCCTCTCTCGGTATATCCCCATCTCCTCCAAAAATTGATGACTGTTTGAAAACCTTTTCTTTCAGCACTGATTTAGTGAGAATACAAATTCATCAGGTTGATGACCATTGGCTTGCACATCAAGACTCTGAAATTGCCATAACTGCTGGTTTTAACCAAAGAGGCAGTGCTAGGTAACCTACTCTGGCTCCCTTAGTACACCACTCTCTCTTTGCAGTCGTGTGCCAGTCTATTGAACCACTGTATTGTCACATACAATAATTTGTAATCATATAGGATATGCATAGCACGCCAAATTGTAACATAAATTAGGATATGTTATTTGGCCGTTACAATCCTTGGTTCATTGATAGAAATAGATTGAGTGATAAGAAACTATGTGTACGCAGGAGGTTGGAAAACTTGAGTGGTTTGCCATACTAGAAAATATGCAAGATAATTTTTAATACAGTCAAATATTGGTGTCACAAACAGAGAATTGTCATGTCAGTTATATGCATCAAGAGAGGCAGGAGACTTGAAAGAGAAATGAAATCAAGAATATGGATTGGCTTTGTGTTAATGCTCAGCTATGCCATGAGTAAAAGCGAGGGTTTGAGTCTTGTAGTCTCACTCTTTGGACTGATAGGGGCTGGGAGTTCTCAACCCTTGAGAGGAAAAGATTTTATATTGCTTAACCATGTGCTTGATGGACAATTAAAGGGCAATGTTGATGAATTTCAAAGAAAATCCCATCTAGTCCTCCGGGGGGAGGGATAGCTCAGTGGTTTGAGCATTGGCCTGCAAAACCCAGGGTTGTGAGTTCAATCCTTGAGGGGACCATTTGTGGGGGGGGAACTGTCAGGGACAGTACTAGTGAAGGCAGGGGACTGGACTCAATGACCTTTCAAGGTCCCTTCTAGCTCTATGATATAGGTATATCTCTATTTCTATGCCAAAAGACCTAGTGACCCTCAACACAGAGCTATGGGAGGTGGCAGCATATGCACATAATTGAAGAAAATGGGTCATGAGAACCTCATGGTTCCAGCAACACCAATTCCACACCCGCTCCACACACACCAATTTGTCAGTAGGAGTTTTGCCATTTATAGGCCCTAAAAACATATAAGTAGAGAGAGGTGTATGAGGTGTATAATTAGGAGGATTTCTTTGTTACTTAATGTTCATAATTGAGCATGATATGAAAGGTATGTCAGTGCTGTATACAGAATGTTCCAATAGATTGCTAATGTATTATGATGGCAAAATATAGCATTTTCGTAGGAGAGACTTGTGAAGGCTTAAACTACCACAGCTGCTAATTTTGCACATTTCTAAAATTGAGACAGAGACATGGGTTTATAGAGATGCTCTTGTCCCCATCATTTTGGATAAAATATGAAGTATATTTTCCATATTCTTATTTTAAATTGGAAATATAAGAATACAGTTATAGTTCAGTTAAAAGTTGATTTTTGGAGGGGAGGAAACTGTTCAGATTAAATACTATACAACATCCATATCTGAACTGATGACAAACACCATCTTTGTTTTGGCAATGAATTCATTTAATACCTTAATTAGCTAAATTTAAAGTATATTTCATCTAAAGTAACCATACTATTACATAAATCAAGTTAGTACCTATTTTCCTTATGACTCTGTGGAACGATTCTGCCCCTAAATTGGTTGAAACGTTTATACTTCTCGTCTAAGTTATTTTTTTTTTATTATTCTTTGAATGAGACAAGAAATGAAAGGGAATCTGGATGGCTTCGCAAACATTGTATGACAAAAGCATTTCACTTCTGGCTCTACTGTTTTAACAAATCTATGGTGGTCTGTGAAATAAAATTGGTTGCCTCAACTCAGTCTGTATTGGACAGTGAGCCATATAAAAGTAACCTATGGTGGTTCTCAACCAGGTGTATGTGTATCTCTGTGGGTATGCAGAGGTCTTCCGGGGGTACTCAACTCATCTAGATCAGTGTTTCTCAACGGGGGGGTTGCAACCCCCAGGGGGGGTCACGGGACAGGTTTAGGGGGCACTGCAAGTGCAGGGCCAGCGTTAGAAGGGTGGCAAGCAAGGCAATTGCCTGGAGTCCCATGCCACAGGGGACCCCTGCAAAGCTAAGTTACATGCATCAGCCCAGGGTGGTGGGGCTCAAGCTTCAGACAAGACTCACAAATGAAAAACAGGCGCAAGTATCACACTGAAATGTACGTACAATATTTATATTCCAATCAATTTATTTTATAATTATATGGTAAAAATGAGAAAGTAAGCAATGTTTCAGTAATAGTGTGCTGTGCCACTTCTGTGTTTTTGTCTGATTTTGTAAGGAAGTCGTTTTTAAGTGAGGTGAAACTTGGGGGTACACAAGACAAATCAGACTCCTGAAAGGGGTACAGTAGTCTGGAAAGATTGAGAACCACTGATTTATTAAACACGTTTTACTGCAGATCACCATTTGTTGCCAAAGAAGGTCCTGGGTCCAAGTTCTATGGACTTTTGTATTACCTGGACCTATTACTTAGCAAAATGTGAGGGTTGAAGGGCATTTGGGGAAACTGACAGTATAGTTTCACATGTAGGCCATGATTTTCAACAGAGATTGGTGATTTTGGGTGCTCAACCAGATGGGGCCTGATTTTTAGGAAGTGCTTCGCATCCACCCTTTTAAAATCAAGCCTCTGTAAGGCATCTCAGTGTGGACACCCAAAATCACTAGTCACTTTTGGAAATCTTAGGCCTAGCCTGTGCAAAAGGGTACTTAATTTCTGACAGTGCAGAAAACCTATGTAGACATTCATATTCTGCTACCAGAGAAAGAAGAGAAACTAGCTTTAATAGATTTCTCTTTGCCTGCCACTAAGATTTCACAGTACAGCAGAATAGAGAAACATATTGTTAACAGTGATCCTCCCTTTCTTGTGTTCATGGGAATGTGCCCTGTTTTTAATCCTAGGAAGAATACAGATGTTGCCTCAGGCTGTCTGTCTCCTGCACGGGCTGCTAGAGAATGGACACATCGTCTACGTACATTGCAATGCTGGTGTTGGCAGGTCTACAGCCGCAGTCTGTGGCTGGTTAAAGTATGTGATGGGATGGAACCTAAGGAAAGTGCAGTACTTTGTGGCCTCCAGGAGACCAGCTGTCTACATAGATGAGGAAGCTCTGGTTCGTGCTGAAGACGATTTCTATCAGAAATTTGGACCTCTTCGCTACTCATGCAAACCTTAGTGGTAGAAAAGCTGATTGGAGGAGGGGAGAGATTCCTCGCAGTGTTGCCAATCCCAAACATTCAAAATTCATAGTCAGACCACCCAAATTCGTGTGTGTGTGTGAGTGAGAGAGAGAGTGAGCGTGTGAAAAATCATGAGATTTAAAAACAATAATTAGTTTAGTCTCTTTTTATTTGCCTTCTGTTTTTTAGCCTTTGGGGTTCTTGTTTTCAAACTTTTCTCTGCAACCAGGAGGGTTAGGAACTTACTTTGCAAAATGAAAGCTGAGATTCTCATGTACTCATGTGACTCCAGGAGCTGGGACAAATATCACAAGATACAACCATGTGAGATGGCAAGACTGTGGTAGGAAGAAGGTGGAACAATGCGGAAGGGCTATATAAAGAAATAAAAGTCAACGGTGTGCAGTTTTTGTTTTTTTCTGGCTTGGGTAGTCAGGGTTGTTTGGCCGTTTCATGTAGAGCCTTCTGTTTTGGTGTGTTTATAAAGATGTTTCTAATGAAATGGTCGGACTGAGAAAAAGGAGGAGGAAATTGATTTACGCAGTTGTGTTTCTGTAACAAACAGCAAGTTAAATTCAATTCATTAGGCAAGAGCTGCCCTTTCTCTCTCGTTTAGGTTTATAGTTAATGTGATTTAGTAAAATTTACTGCTGTACTTTGTTATGGTGCTGAGGGTATTGTAGATGCTGTGCATAAAGGTGGGGGAAAGTTCCACTTATGCATATTTAATCTACTGCAAGGCAGAACTCCTGGTTTATTGGATTATCCTAGATTGTAAGATTTCTGGGGCAGGGACTGTTTTTGTTTTCCTTGTCTGTACAGTGCCTAACACAGAGCCACGATCCTTGATTAGGGCCTCTTGGTGCTACCACAAGATAAATAACAATAAAGAAAATTGAGTTCAAGCAGAAGATATGGGAGGTGGCCTGGTGAGCCTATATGCAGGCTATGCTGCCGGGTTTAGAGTCCCAGGTGCAGTGTCCGTCTCATTCCCCTACTTGGTGTTGCCTGGAAGTTCTGCAATAGCAGACATCTCTTGCTCCTATGGAAGACAAGTGCTTCCACTGCTGCTCAGATGTCGCTGTCCCGTTAGCTAAACTAGGAAGGGCATCACTAGGCTCCAGAGTCCAAACAAGCCCCCCTCAGCCAAAAATAGGTGCTGCAACTCATGACCTTGAGGGGAGGAAGTGGAGAAATTCCTCCGCTGAGGGTCTGATTGGGTGGGAGAGTTGCTTGTTAAGGACACAAAAATTAAAAAACGAATTTCTAGAGGCAGATGGCTGAGCTAAATCCCTTTTCCAGTTATTTTTAGAAAAATGATTTGTCTTTATAGAGATTTATTCCGTGATAAAGAGTTGATAAGAGACACATGACCTTAATTATAAGGAAATCCTACTATTGGAGACTTGTTAGCGATCTCACTGTTACAATATCCTGGGCACTGTTCACGGAGAATGTCCATCATAATATATTTTGCTTTATCTTTTACCCCTCAGATGCCCTCAGATGTGAAGAAGCCACTGGAAGTTATTTTAAATTTATGTATTTGATCATCACTTTATTTCTGATTTCTGTTTTGAAATAATGTATGTCACCAGTTAGATACTGGATGAAACTATAGCCCAATGTTAAATAAAAGCCTTATGACACTTCCATAAGTGTGTGTTTTCTCATGTGTTTTGCTCACATTTGTTATTTGTACTTAAGAGCGGACAGAAGCCATTAGAACCATAATTGTTTATTTCTAGTCTCCCATGGTCTGACTGGAACAAGAATGGGTTTTGTATCTATGTGCCTGACCTTGTGAACTAAAGGGTGTGGATGATGCCCATCCTACTCATGGAGCACAAGAGTGTGTCAAAATGCAACTCAGCTAGGGACATACGCTTAAGGTTAGAATGTGACTTTAGGCACAGTCCTGAGCAAGCAGTGGTGCCCTGGGGAGACACTGCGTGGCAGTAACTCACACCTGACTCCTGATTCCTCCTCTTCTTCCTATTTGCTCTTAGGAGGTAGTTATTTACCACTGGCCTATACCAGCAGTAAATTACACCCTACCCATGCTGGCTTAGCTATAGTGTCTGGTGAGTAAGGGAAGTGGGTCAATTCTTTGCTGCTCCCCAACTCATTCTCTGCCTCTTGCTGACCACTAACTCTGGGGAGGGAGGGAGCGGGCAAGTAGCCCTGCTTCTTACTATGTGCCTGGCCCCAAGATCTGGGTAGCCCATGTAAAGGGGATCCTTACTCCTCTACTCCCTTGCATGGAGATGGAGTCAGAGTCACAATCTGGCCTTTAATATCCCTGAGAACTTCTTGGACTTGATTCAGTACAACTTGTGTAACAGAGAGCGCCCCACAAAGATCAAGCCCTGAAATCATGAGGTTTGCATGAGAAACAAAAATTTGAATTAACACCAAAGTTATAGTTCGGTCAGGATGCTTTTGAACCCACAAGCTTAACAGATATTCCATGTGTCCCTGCTGTGTAGCTGGGCAGGGTACAGCTAATTCTATTTTCAGTGGTTACATTTGTAAATGTTGCAGGCTAAGGCTAATCGAATTCTATAGTTCAGGGCATCCACTGTTTGGCAACAGGAGCCAGCCAGGAATACCCCATGTTGTGCAGATCTGATGTATAAGTTTATACTACGTTGTGTTCCATGTCTTTTTGGACAAGAATGTCAGTCATTTAAAATCCAATGGATACCGTCAACATCAAAGAGCTGCAAATAGCAAAGAAATCGTAGTGCTACCTACATGATGGTTCCAGACTAATACTTCTATTTTTAAATACTGATGAGGCACTGAGATACAGTGTGATGGGGGCACACAGTAGGTGGATTACATAAATAGATTAGATAGATGAAACCAGCCTGCCAAAAATGTACTAGTAAATGGCACGTAGGGTTCCCGAGGGTTGTAGACCCACAGTGCATAATCTGTAACATACCCACTTGTCACATTGTCCCCAGAGCACTGATTCCTGCCTCCCTGTTGAAAGCCACTCTACTAGGTAACACTAATTGAAAGTCCTGCCTGTCAAATGCAATTAGTAAGCACCAGACATTTAAATAATAAAGAGCCCATTGCAAAAGGCTACAGCAACAAGAAAGCAAAGGTTTCAAAATATTCCATTTTTCCAGCTGCATAATGACATGATAAGTCTGTATCTAATGCTTACCTATTAAAATTCTAATTTGAAATGTGTTCTTGTGGTGATTGGATCATCAGCCATTTCCACACACTAAACTGTTTATGCAATTTGGGTGAAAGGATGAGGGCACTGCTGCTGTTAATATGCTTGTATATTTCCTCTTGAGAGTGGCACCTTTATGGCTAGACTATATTTAGAAGAGAATAACTCCTAAGAAGGGAATTAAGAATTGATAAACTGCAGTAGTTATTTTAAAGTGGGCAAAATAAACCGAAGTAGTGTACAGGACAAAGAAGGGAAACCGATGCAAGAGCTCATATAGGTCATCATCACTGGAAGGTATCATTGGAGAAAACAGATGTCAGTTAGAATTGGCACATCAAGTATTTGGTGCCCAGGTAGAAATAAAGCCCTCATATTATTTTATCTAGTTTAACTGAAGAAGCAAATGGAATTTGCTGAATGAACCTGGGCCATTTACAACTCCAGGTTACTAATGATATCTCAATATCGATATTAGGATATACATAATATACATATTTATTCCTATGGCCAAATATTGCAAGGCCCCAAGTGCTCTGAACTCCCCTCAATGTCTTTGTAAGAGGCATTCAGCCCCTCAGAGGGACTTGCTTAATGTGCCTGCGCTTTGTGACTTCATGAATATTTTTCCTTCTGAGACCAAAAAATGTGACCAATGAGGAAATAGGGTACACTAACTAAGTTAATTAGAATGGCAGTGTGATCTAGTGGATAGGGGACTGGGTGTCAGGAGCTCTGTAATCTATTCTTGACTCTGCTGCAGACAGGTTGTGTGACCACTGGTAAATAAATTCACTACCCCTGCTTCCTTTGCCACCCTTTGTCAGTCTCACCTGTTAAGAATGTAAGCTTCTCGGGCCTCACTCTATGTTTGTATAGCGCAGAATGGGGCCGTAATCTTGGCTGGGGCCTCTGGGTGCTTTACATTTAGTTTCAACGTCTCATTATTTTTTTCAACTGTGTTCTATGTACTGCAAACATTACCAAAGAGAAACAGTCCCCGCCCTCAAGAGCTTACAATCAGACACCTGCACACACTCCTCATGCAAGAAAACCCATGGTGGGAGCCAGGTGCCCAGGAAAACACTGATGTTCCCCTCACTGAATTTAATCCAACTTTTCTGGGTGCACGGTGCTGGGAAATGTGAGACCTGTGTGTGTCTGGAATAGTCTCCCAACGGAACTGATAGAAACCCAATCTCTGAAGAAGCACAAGCACTAGGAAAGGTACCATAGGGAATACTCTTTCCCTGACAAAAGGATGGACTTTAGCACCTACCACTGTAGGTTTTTTTTCATCTCTACTTTACAGGATTACACACTGACTTTACTGTTCTGCAATTGGCAAAATTGTTGATTTGATATAGTAAAAAGAAAATTTCCATAAAATCTCTGTTCCTCTCTCCTTTTATTCCTTCTCACTAAATTGCAGTGAGATGTTGCAAAGCTAATGTAGAATTTAAAGCAAAATAACCCCATACCACTAATCAAAGAAACACCGGAGCTATGTAATGGGAAATCATGACTATATAAGTAAAAGCATAAGGACTGTAGAGAAAGCACATATCTGGCAAGCAGATATCAGCCTTTAAAATGAAAACAGACAAAAGTCTGCTCTCTGCTTAATAGGAATTGTATCCATGTAGCTGAGAGCAGAACGTAGGTAAGTGTTTCTAATTCTCAGCATTTGTGTTCTCATGGGTAAATGAACAGAACTGTATTTTTTAACATATTCAGCTAAGGGAATTTGTTTTTATTTTTTTCTTTTCTCTGGTACTCTTCAGGGAAAGGCACTATTTTAGGAGGCACAGTTTTCAATATAGTATTTATAAAGGGGTTAATTGAACCCATTCTTCTTAATGTCAATGGCAAAACTCCCATTGGCATCACTGTCAGTGAGATCGTCATGATATGTATTACCTCTGAAC